TGTGGACCCTGCGGTTGCTCGTGGTCGGGGAAGGACACGGTTTTCTGGCCGAGCCATGATATGTATAGGGAAAAGGCTTGGGGGTCTGCATGTGGGACTTCGACGCGTAGGGTCTGCAGGCCCAGTGGTGGCGGGTAGATTATGTTGCGGAGGTAGGGCGAACGGACCGCTGTCTGTAGGTCGACGGCGTAGGTTGCGCTGTGTGGGGTGAGTTTCCCTACTACGAAGTGGACGACGTAGGGGGTGTTTGGATTCGTGTCTGATATAGAGGTCTTTGGGCGGTTATGAGACATTTTCATGTTTTTTTTTTCTTTTCAACAACGTTGAATGCAGAAATAGGTTGTGATAATTGTGTTTGATGATTGTGTTTGAAAGCTCGAGAGGTTTGAGTGCAGCGATTGAATTGACACACCTATATCGAGTGTTTCAATGACCATACATAGCCTGGGAAATAAACAGTGACTCGCGAACTTATTAAGATGAGAAATACTATCTCGTTCCGTGATGATTGACCTACATGTAGTGTTTTATTCCAATGCTGCATTTTCTCCTTTGGCCTACCTGCTTTGTTCTAGGACCTTTATGCAGACAGATTATTTTTTCACGGCGCCTCAGTACGTTAGTTCAAATAAGCATAACAAGATCTACTAGATACTATCTATGATGAGTATCTGGAGGATTTGGCAGAATTTAACAAACGCTTTGCCCTTGCGAAATGACTGGTTCAACTTATCCTGACATTTCGCTTTCTCCCGCTGTGTGCATCACACACGCTTTTCGTAGACATCATTCAAGAATTTATTGACAAGTAGCATAATGTGCGATACCTACAGTCGGCGTTATGCGACAAGTTCACTCATCGATGTGCACAGTCATAGGAGCGTGACAACACTTACGCCGCGTCACACGTCGTCAACCGTTGGAAAAGCAATAGCAAATTCAATCCAGCCCTCATACACTTCACACCCGAAAGTTCTACTTCGTTCGGTCAATATTCCATTCAAAACTCCATATCAATGGCCTCTCTTCCGAGACACAGCTTTTTCCAAAAGCACACCTCCCCCCTTGTACCAAATCCCCCTCCTATTGCTCACATACCGCATACGGAACCCAACATGGGCATCAACCTATTCTCACAGAAGAAGTCATCAAAGCCAAAGGATCTGGACACCATTTCCGTTGCCAGAAAAGTCACCATCACCGAAATACCCAAAAACGGCCGATGTCCAATCCCCAAGGGCCTGGTGAAGAATAAACAGCAGTCTACACCACCGCAGCCTTCACGCAATGCACCAAAGGCTCCTCCACAGAAAACCACACTCACCGACGTCTCAGACTTCCTGGCCCCAACCAAGGCCCCCGAACCTCCTCAAACCCCCCTCTCCGCACGAGACTCGGCACTCCGCCAAAGCCTCCCCCCACCCTTCGAAGTCCCCGCCCCTGAGCCACCCCAGGGTCCGTACCTCCGCCTCCTCATCGGAAGCCAAGACCCAAGCTCTCGCTACAAGACGCAGCAAGTATTCCAGATCCGGCCCTACCTCGTCAAGAACTCTCAAGTCCTCTCGCAGATCCCCAGCCACGAGATCCCCCCTGGCAGCAGTAGCAGCAGTAGCTCCCCCCCTCCCGCGACCCCCCTCCCCAACCTCGACCCCCAGGCCTTCGACCTCTACCTCCGCTACCAGCCCCTAGGCCCGCACAGCCACCTGCGCGCGCTCCCGGAGCTCAAGGCCTCGTGGCGCGAGTGCTGGCCCCTGATCAACGCGCACATCCTGGGCACCGCGATCCAAGACGCAGGCTTCGCCGACCTGATGCTCGACGTCGTAGCCGAGAAGCTGCACGCGAAGCGGTGCGCGGACCACGAGACCATCCGGCACGTATTCTCGGCGAGGGGCATCAGCCCGGAGCTCAAGGCGCTGCTGGTGGATCGGTGTCTGGAGGCCGATGCCGAGGGCATTGCTGGGGCGCGCTTCGAGTTGCTGCCAAGGGCCTTTGTGGATATGGCGCTGCAGACGGCGTTGGGGAGGCTGAGGGGGGAGGATGCGCGCGAGGAGGGGGCCTGTAGGTATCATTCCCACGGAGAGCGCGGGGAGGAGTGCTACAAGGTGAGGGCTGCGGCGCGGAGGTCGAAGCAGGAGTCCAAGCGGGAGGCTGCGTCGAATGGCTCGGGGGAGGCCGTGGGGGAGCCGAAGAAGAATAGCGTGCATTGGGATGATGCGGTTGGCATGATAAATGGGCGGTCATCAAAGGCTGGCTCGAGACTGTCGATTGTCGAGGAAGCTGGCGAGGGTCCGGTGACGAATGGAAATCTGGCGGGGGAATCTCGGGGTACTGACACGAACGATGTTGCAATGGTAGAAGCACCGGTGATTGTTAATGGGGATCACTCCGTGCCAAAGACGAACGGCGTGAAGGGGGACAGTCGCGAAAACGGAACTGCAGATGAAAGCGACAGTCCGGGCAATGAGGGCTCTTTTGGACCGAGCAAAGATGACTTGGAGCAGATTATTCAAAGCTCCAAGTGTCCTGGATCTTATCCCGAGTCTACATGACGAATTTGATGTAGTAGCTGGGTACGCTGGCGTGCCGACGGGTACCGTGAACTGTTAATGACACTTTCGATTAGTTTCGTATGTGTTGTTGTGGACTAAAGACATGGTATATTATGAACGCTGGGCTGTCTGCGAAGAAATGCTGGGCTATGATACCTGGAGTGTATTTAATTGCATCTCGTACTATGTATTTCTCTCATACTAGAGAAGCAGGAAAACACGATTGGTTGCTCAATTTGGCCGCGAAACGGAATATATGTACAAGATTATATATGCAGATATGATGGCAAACTACAAAATCGCAGTTCCGTTCACGTGAGAGCTCACACCACCTAGAGATCATTTGGTCAGCATATGCATATGTGTAGAAGTGAGAGAGCATACCTGGGCAGTTCGCAGGCGCAGAAGAGAAGAAAAAAGTCCAGCGATTCTGCTCTCGGCACTTTTGCGCAAGCTTCTCAAGATCCAGCATCTCGCCCAAGGGCATTCCCCAAAGTGCGAGAATATATTCGTGGAGATGGTATTCTAAAGCGAAACGTCAGTTGGCCAGTCACCAACAGAATGAGTCATGAATGGGTGTACCTTCATGCGTTGGCCAAGCCTCGAATGTCGGCGAGTCACCCGCGACCGACGCAAAGTAGCAATCATGGATCCAGTCCAAGACCTTCTGTTCCTGACTCAGGCCCGCATACCGCTGGCCATCCTCGCCGTCCTTGCCGGTTCCATGCCTTAAAGCTGCTTTTGCACGAACCTCCGGAGAACTCGAATCGTACTTCTCTTTCCATCCACTGCGTACAAATAGCATATCGCCGATCTTGATGTCACCACCCTGGGCGGCGGGGCGAATATCTATACCTTGGTCTTTGCCGCATTGAAAGAGCTCTTCCCAAGAGATGGGGTAGTAATCGTAAGGGTCGTAGTTGATGCCTTTCTTGTGCGCGTACCCGCGGTAGTCGAGGAGCACACCTCGGCCAGCGATGCCATGTTCAGCCCAGTGGTGGATGGAGCATTTGTGATTCGCAGTTGGGCCGACAATGTCTGAGCCTTTGGTCTGGACAATGTAAGCTAAGTACATCTGTGCTTGTGTGTGCACTTACGCCATTGTAGAAAGAACCTGTTGGAATATGCGCGAACTAGTACATTAATTAGATTGCGCTAATGACAGTGGAGAATATGTGGCTTTACATGTCTAAAGCCATCCCACTGAGTCCCGCTCTGAGTATTCAAGTGGTAAATGTCATCATATGCTACGTTCTCGTGGAGAATCTTGATTTCATGCTTGAAGATCTCGCGTTCGAAGGCTGGTTGGTTTGGGACATCTAGTGGGAGACTGGAATAATTAGCAACGCCCCCGGACATGATCAGACAATTCTGACTTTACAGGAATGATCTCGCCGGTTTTGATTTCTTTCGCTGCAGCTGCCACTCGTGTGGGAGTGAGAAGGTTGATGCGACCGATCTAGCATAGATTAGATATCTGTTCAGGGGCGAAAACTGTCTACTCACATAGTCACTATCACCCCAAACCCAGGCAGCTTCTGGAGGGGCTCCAGGGATTTGAGGCAGCTCCTTTCGCGTGGGGAACTTTGTGCAATCCGGGTCCCAAGGAATTGTGGTTGCTGTCTTATTCATTGTGAGAAAGTCGGTGATTTTCGTCAACCTTTGGTTTGCGGGGCTCTTTGGTTCGGCCATGGTGGCGAATTCGAATCGTACAGAGATGAGATGAGACAACAAGCGCGCACTTTGGGATGCCGATGAAGTGTGGACGGCGAAGCTCTGTTATTTCGAAAGGCTGCTACCCCGCCGATGCGCTATGACGGCGGCCCCGCATCGTTTGGATTGAGTTGCCTATTAACGCACCGAGGCAGTCTGGGGTCGACGCGAGTATCGTGCGATGACTCGTTCAGCCAATCATCTGCTACGGTTCCGGGGACCGAGGAGGGGTGACAGGATACTGAGAGGGACCAGCTACAAGGGGCGTCCGGTGTTATCGGATTTGAAAGCATCAGTTGAGTGCTGATGTGTGCTATGGGCTTATGAGTTGCAATTCCGTGGATTTGGATGACGTTTCGGCCTAGCCACTCCAAGATTAGCCTTCTTTCAACTCCATCTTCCCAGCCACGATTTACATTCAATTTTTCTAGAGAGATTGTTTCTGGCTGTCGTATTCCACGAAATCTGGTTGAGCCTTTGCTAGCAAGAACAACTATAATCGTTAAAAGAGAGCCAGAACTGGTGTCTGGTCCGCAGTGTGATTTGGTGTAAAGGCGTATGCACAAATCCAGACGAATAATACATGCAGCCGCCCTGGCCCCCCACCACTGCATAACTACTGACACAATATTGACTTCATAAATTTGTATCTCTCAATTATTCAGCAAACCCCAAAAAAATCGTGGGTGATTACTGAACCAAGCTCCATTTAACAATAAAAAAAGAGCAAAAAGAATTTGCCCACTCTCGGAATCGAACCGAGGATCTTCTCATTCCAAGTATGAACTACGAGTGAGACGCTGTACCACTAAGCCAAGCGGGCGAATTTTGATTTGGCGGCCTAAGAGGCCATACTTCGCAACGGCGAATGATGCGAATTTTACAAATTTTCAAATTATAGTGAATAAGTACAGAGGACATTGCCCAAATTTAGAGTGGGGATGATGAATACAATATTGAAAGGGAAAAGTGTGGATGCACGAATTTCAACTGTGGGGCAGCGTTCTGTGGCTATCGATTTTTACTTACCAACGTACCGATTGGCTGCACATCCGAGATCGCAGTGCGCCTCTCAACTCGGTTAGGACTGGTACGCCATGTATTAAGAAACATTGAAGTTGACGCGAGATATTACACAAGCAATATGGTAAACGGCAAAACAAAAATAAGAACTCGTAAGATGAACAGGTCGGATATTATTGTATTTATTGCACATCTGGATGGCGGCATTTGTCGCCACGTGTGTGGTAATGCGTGCTCCTCCTCCCAGCCGAAAGCAGACGATAGACTTGAACGCACAAGGGGACAAAGAAGAGAACAATTTTTTTTTAAAGTTCTCAAACATTCACGAGTAGATGTATTAGCCGAAAAGGATACGATGAGTCTCCTTCAGGTTCAACTTGACTTGCAAGTGCGGTTTTTGTTGAAATTCAATCTTCTTTTGATACCAGTACGTGTATAAACTATGTTATGCTTTCGCATGTGGCCCTCGAGATCTGTTTCCCCATTTTTGCAGATACACAAACTTCGCAATTCTCAAGGGCAGGAGCCACAGCTCCTTCCTCTAGAATCAGCTCAACCCTCGTTACGTGGGCTGCGAGTAGCTCAATCTTTCTTTTGCTCGAGAGCCCATATTTAGTGCGCCTGCTCGTCGTTTGCACGCAGAGGCTTTCGTGGCCTATGAGAAAGTCAGGATGGGGCCGTGAAGTGAGCAGCCACCGATACCAAATCCGCAAGCCCTGTGCGCTGGTTGCCCTCCGCATCAATTAGTTACTGTCCATCATCATCGCCGTACTCATCCAGCCCATTCTCCTCCAACACGTCGTCCAGAAGCCCCGCAACCTTCGCGTTATCCAGATCCGCAAACGGAATGTGCGTACTCCCCTTCAGTCCCGCATCGTCTCCCAGCTTCAATACCTTCGCATTCCCGCCATACTGGTTGATCAACTTGGCCGCCAGCCGCGACTGGACAACGTACGTTGAGTTGTCCGCGCGATGGTCGCCCCAAACAAACTGGATGGCCGTGAGCTTAGCTAATTTCTTGAAGTTCTCGAGTGGGACGACGACGGGACCGAAGCCGCCATTTCCAGCTGTGATGTTGATGTTGTCAGGGAAGACGTAGCCGATACTTTCGTAGGTGACAATGCCCTTGATGTTTGTCCCACTAGCCTTAGTCGCCGTTAGCTGGGCGCGGAGACCCCCGGCAGAGTTGGTGAGGTAGACGATGTCGGTTCCAACCTTCCCCGAGTCAGCTGCAACGGCGGCGGCGTCTGACTGAAGTTCAACGTTGTTCGCAGTGTCGTATTCTACATATCGAGCGCTGGTTGCTTGATGCCATGCCTCCTCGTCCTGAGTCGGGAATTGCACGTCCGGCCACCAACTCCCGTACCTAGGGCCAAAGTTCCATCCCGCGAAGTTCCCCTGATCCCGGTAGTAAGGAAAATAGTTTGTTGCTTCGCAAGGCCAATTTGCGCGTCCGACGCGTGGTCCGTCCCAAAGGTAAACAGGGTAGTTGCGGCGGAGGAACATGTCTTTGTAGCCCTCACCACCGTCCCAGCGGTTCTGCCAGACCTGTGTGCTAGAGCTGTGCCACATGACGAGACTGGTCTTGCGCGGCCGCCAGGGGATGAAGTACTCCATGTATCCATGGTCGCAGGAAAGCGTCTGGTTGGGGAATTTCGGATTGCTGATGACTTTGCCGCCGATTTGGAAGCCTCCTGATTTCTCCAACGTGATAGGTGACCGCGGCCTCACATTCCCCTCGGCTACCGCGACACTAATAGATGTGACGAGAATTAGCACAGAAATCCACATCTTGACGAACAGGTCCAAGAAAATGCTTCGAACGGAGTTGAGATGTTCCTCGGCAGCGTGCGGGGCTAGCTATCCGTTAAAAATGCCCGACACGGTGAAAGTCCTACCAAGAGTTTCGCACGTTCAGATCAAAGTGGCATCATCTCGGTCTCCACAGACAACTACCGATGTTGTCTTAGTATGCAAGTCTTAGAATCTCCCGGGCGCCCAAACTAGCAAGTCCATGCTTCATGCACCCCGCATTTATATGCAATTTACAAATTCCCCGTCGTCCGTCCGATCGGATTTCGGTATGCACTGCGCGCGTCAAGATGAGGTCGCATATTAACCCATGACAGCTCGAAAGAGATGCTTGCGTTCCACGTGCCATAACCGACCTGCTTTGGATTGGATACCCATCGCCACCCATGTCGTCGGAAGTTCCAAGATGGAAGTTATGCTCCGGCTTACGCAGGGTCGAGGTTTTGCCATATTGTGTGGGGAGTAAATATTCATGCCCCAGATTTCAGCCGTCGGAAGTATTCCCACATTGGGAATCGTAAACGTGCTTGGTGCCCAGGTGTATTCCACTGTTCCACTTGACCGTTCGAAGAGCATTTCAAGAGCTGTAGACGAGGAAGGTTCGATTCCGAGTCTCGGGAATATTGAAAGCGATTGAGTTTCAAGGCCCAGCATGTGCCTCTAAGACCATGGAGGATCCTTCTCTTCCATTGATCTAGATGTGCATGTACGAAGGAGCCTCATAGGCGATTTTAGTTGGTTGGTAAAACTATTAGGCCGGGTTGGTTCCTGAAGATAGACGTGGAATTTGATATGCCGTATTGGTGGTGGTGGGGCTCAAATACTCTAGCCCTAATTAATTGTGCTCATGGTTTCGGCCAGTCTTTGGTCCATGTCTGGAATGAGCACTCCGCTTGATCTTATTCTTCTCTGACTCTTTGCGTATGCTCCGGAACAAGTCTTTGCCTCGCTGGACCCTTTCCGAAAGGTCATGGAGAGTAATATGCTGTATCTCATAGTATCGCAGTGCTGCAAGTTCATAGTTGAGCCTAGAGAGCTCATGCGTCGCGCCCTTGATGTTATCTAGAAGAGGACGGAAGCTTTTTTGAAGCCTTGCTCTTTGATGTCGGTATAGCGGCGAGTCCGTAGGCATCTCCCCAAATTTGGTTATTACTGAGAGCGTTTTGGTAATTGTATTGGAAAAGGCTAGGACAGAATGCATCGATTCAAACAGTCCCTCAACGGCCCAACATCTAGGTTCCTTGTTCCACGCTCGTTGCAGCCGAAATTGCAATGAAGAGCTTTCTTTTAAAAGGGCATCAGGGGACCGTAGGGCGAGCTGAACTTCTCGAGATCCAATGCCAAATCTTCCCTGGGCCTTAGCTAACTGTCTAATCGTCTTATCTTGGACTCTTTTTGCAGTTAGAAGACTCCTCCTCTTTGCATTGGCCTTATATCTCCATATTTGAGCTAGGAAAAACAGAGGATTAAAAGGTGAGTGTACCTTGATCAATCGCACATTCATCAATATCCCCACTTCTTCAGAAACAGCGTAGGATGTTTCCATCACTTTTGCGAGGGACGGTCCAAGGCGATTACGAATTTTCCAATGAGAGGTCCGTATCAAGAAGTCGCACACGCTCATTTCTTTCTCGATGCGAATGAATGGTAGAACGCTTCGGTAAGCCTCTACAACTGCGGTAGTATGATTGACGAAGAAATTGTCCAGCGGTCGAGAAGGTGCGTGGCTGCTGAGCCGTTGTCGAGCAACCTCCAATTTTGCTTCCGCTATTTCGAGTGCTCGGACAGGGCCACAATTTTTCCAGGTACCGAGTTTTTCGATATTCCATAGTCTCCCGTCCCAGGCATTCCATCTTAGTAATCCATGATGCGTCTGCATTAGGGGGCGTTTCGCCCCCCCCTTTGTAGACAATTGCCTATACCATTGTCGAAGCTGGGAATTTTGCGATGGCATGACCCCTAAGCTCGAATTGATGATATTGTATGTAAACCGGTTCGGAGATACGTTGAGGTCATGGACAAGACGGAGAAGGGCGCGTTGGCATTTGGAAGAGGTCAAGGCGAAAGAAGTCGCGTAAACTTTGGCAATGATCTAGTCTATTTTAGTATTAGCGGAAAATGATTCATATAACACCGTAAAGTTCGAACAACTTTCAGAAGCGACTTTCTATTACTCTACCTCTAATAGTAGCTACAAAATCCAAACAATCGTTTTGATAGAAAATCGTCAGGCCATCTCAACTCTCCATTTCAGCACAACAATGCAGGTGTCTCGTCGAAACTTGTTCAGGTCAAGTGTTGCGGTCTTTGTTAATGTCTGTCGTCCTTGTGTGAAAATAATGAAAACAACAATGGATTATATTTTAAGATACAATTGCGCTGCCCAGATTTTTTCTTTGTTTTCCATTCATTTATTAGAGCTCCTCGAGATCCCGAATACTGTTCGTCACAAACTCTCCGTCTCTCAAAGATAAAATTGAATTCTCTAAGATGCTGAACTCTCACATTCGTCGTCGATCACCGCGATTTATAGAGAAGTACACACCATCCAAGGAATCAAAAAATACTAGCCGAGTGAGCTCTTCCCGAGTCCAGAAAACCCAGGGTCAAAGACGCTCATTGCGGAACAAAGAGATATACATGCATTCCTGGCTACACGCCTCAACGAGACCGGAGCCGGCGCAATCAGTTTTACCAGAACTAATATCAGATTCAGATTCAAATATCCAGCGTAGGCGACGTCAAAGCTACGTTCTTAAGGCCCGAAAGACCCACATCGTCCACCAATTTATCGAAGACGAGGTTGAATCCGACGAAGAAGATACCGAAGAGGAATACGATGGACAGAACGAGGAAAGTGAGCACTCTGAATCCGGTGAGTTTGTCGAACTCTCGGGCGATAATATTGAGTCCCGCGCAGCAGAAGACCTAAGACGCAATTCCTACGACAGTCGATTTGAGCCTGGAAACGAAGAATACGAGCTCGAT